AGAATAGTTTTTTTTTTTTTCTGCTCTCAAAATGGGGGCATGTGGTTTCAGTGGAGCATCACTAGAAATGCAGGTTCTCATTCCTCACCCCTGCAGCCACCCTCCCCACCCCCGAGTTACAGTGTGCAGTCTAACAAGTGTCCTACACCGTTCCCCTGTGCTTCAGAGCATGAGAACTGTTCTAGGCCAGGCATTTTCAAATTTGGAAAGAGTTCAAATCCATAGATGCTTCCTCCCTCTCCAAGGTTTTACATATAGTCTTCCTAGGCCTCTCTTTTACTCAAGAACTTGGTTGCTGGCCTCTAAGCACCCTTAATTCTCTGGGGTTCCCTATCTTGAGAGTCTAGAAACGTGGACTAACAGGGAGAGCAGTTGGCAGGCCACAGCCCTGTGACATTTTTCCTGCTTGTTCTCATTTGGTGCCCTGTCCTCTTCCCTTTGGGATCCCTGGAAGGGTAGCTGGTACTATTCTTAGCAGTTCAGGGTGGGGAGGAGAGAACATGCTGGTACATTATTTATGCCTCTTCGTCAACAGGGTTACATTCAGGGCTCCCAGGACATGGCCTTTCCAGCCTGGCCTTTGTCACTGTTGTGAGAAGCACATCTACTATGTAGCCCTGAGGTGAGAAAGTGCTTGGCACCGGGTAGAGAGGAAAGCAGGGTCCCAGACTTGGCAAATTGTTTTGGGGAACGCATATCAAGAAGGTGTATGGTCTGCAAAGGCCACTGAGTTCCCAGGAAGCATCTGAGTAGAGACCTTGCCCATCTTGAAAATAAATACTCTAGTGAGTGAGGTTGCATGGTGCTGTGGAAGTGAAGGCTTTGTCATCTGGCCTGTCACCCCACTTCAGCCTGTAAAGCTCACGCTGGCAAATGGAATGTGAAATACAGTGATGAACCCGGGATGTGGCTCAGGGGGTAGAATGCTAGCTAAACGTGCCTGAAGCCCCAGGTTCAGTCCTCAGTACCACACAAGCCTGGGTGTGGTGGTACACATCCATAATCCCAGCACTTGGGAAGTAGATGTAGGAGGATCAGGAGTTCAAAGTCATCTCCCCCTACACAGCAAGTTTGGGGCCGGCCTGAGTTACAAAAGACAGGTATGTGTCCCGCGCGATATTCTCGCCGGCAAGAATCATACAGGACATTCGGATTCTTCTGTAGGAAAGCCTTAGAGCATCTTGAGAGAGGAGAGCATAAGCTTACCAGAGCGGAGACCCCGAGCCAAGAATCCCGTCCCCTAATAAAGGCTGGCAGCCCCGCCTGGGACGTGTCACCCTATGAATGGCTTCAGCTCCCCAGGCCATGTGAGCCACTGGATAGGCAGACTTCAATGAAATGGAGAATTACCCAGCGCCTGCGAAATAATTTACATTCAGTGCCTGCAGGCACCATCATTGTAATGGAGAATGCAGGGACGGCTCCCTACAGGTATGCAGTCATACATGTGCAGTGTGTATGTACACTGAGAAGTGAAACGAGACTCTCTGCTTCTAAAAGTTAGCGTGTTAGTCAGAGCCCACGCACATCACCATCACTGGTGCATGAGCCATGGGCCTGTTGATGGGTACTTTGCATGTGTGTGGCCAATGCTTGCAACCACCCAACAGGGTAGGAATTTGGAGATTGTTACAGAGGTTCAGCAGATGGGAGGCTTGCTAATGGTCATCGTAGCTCATGATCAGGTTAGGTAGGGCAAAATGATTGTTTTAGATCAAATGCTAGCAAGTAGTTCCAGGGCCTTGGGGCTTTGCATACAGCCCAATGAGAGAGAAACTACCATGCTGAAAGACTAACTGGTTGAGGTTGTCCCATTGCAAGGAAGCTTGAGTCATTGAAGCCACATGTGTCAGAGTTTTCATGAGCCTGGAATAAAGGCCAGTTACCCTGTGGCTAAAACCAAATTATAAGGGATGAGTGGATCAGGCTGGAGGTGGCAAAGCCTCAGGCTGGAAGCGAAAGGCTGCATGCTATGAAATCCTGGGAGGTAGAATGGCCTTCTCTGGGTCCCTTCCCCACCTCTTGCTTTTTAGTTTTTCTTAGACAGGGTCTTGCTATGTAGCCCTGGCTGGCTTAAAATTCATGGCAATCCTACCTCTACTTTCTAAATTCTTTGGGTACAAGCACGTTTCCTAGTCTGTAGAGTGATGTAACAATCCCTGCTCTGCCTGTATTTCTGATAAATGAAAAGTACTACAGATCTTTGTGTGTGCAACTGTATCCTTTCTTATTAAGTTTTCTACTTAGCAGGCAGAATAACTATGTTTCATCATGGCATTATCACCCACAGCACTATGTATAGGTACATGTCAATAAACATTTCTCATACTCATCCCACATAATACACTTTTTCACATGGTTCATGTTATTAAATATATTTTTGGTTAATATTAAGGAGTCATGTTTTATTCCAGACCACAGTCTAGGCATCTGTCTATGTGTTTGCTAGCTATAAACTTAACTTATGGGTTGATGGGCTCTTAAGGCCCAGTGAGTCTCTAACCTGGCTGCATACCAGAGTTCCTTAGGTAGACCCATAGGTCTAGACTGGAGCCCAGGAATTGGCATGTGGGTCACCTGTAAGTTCTGATCTGGTCGAGAGAGAAAGGAACTTTCTGAGGCTTCAGGCTGGGGCTGGTCTTTCTCTGCCACTCCTCCTCTGTCCTGATCACTGTATAGGAAAGAGACGGGGCATCCATGGTCACAGCTGATGATGCTGACAGTGGCTATGGACACACTCAGTGCCGCACAGGTACTTTACAGGGCAGAAAGGGGGACATTCTCTTGAACAATGTTGTCTCCTGGGACACTCAAGCACTATATGGTAGATTTTAATTCGTCCCCGAAGAGAGAGGCTCTGACAGAGGTGCAGAGTCGTGGATTTCAAAGCATACCATTGGGTCACTGGTCCCTGTCCAGCAGCCTGTGCCTGTGGAGACTAGGTAGCCTGAAGGGACACATACCCTCCCACAAAATGTGTACCTGTTTCAAGTGTGCCCATGCTGGCCCAGCATGAGCACAGCATACTTCCATGTACATGCTGCAGGAGCTCACGTGTCCGTCCTGCCCACTGTGTTTAGTGTGTTCATGCCTGGGTGGGCTCTGCTGTGTGTCATGCAGATTTGAAACAGGCAGAACCTCTGTGTGGGAGCCTGTGTGCAAAGGAAGAGGTGCTGCCACCCGCTGGCATCTGTCCTGCCTTAAGGAAAAAGGACGAGATCCCAGAGAGAAGAAAGAGAGAAGGCTGTTGGAAAAGACTCTTTCCCTGTTTGGGTGAGGTATAGCCTGCCTCAGGACCTTAGCACAAGCTATCCCTCTGCCAAGCCACTCGTTCTCCTCATGGCCTCACTCAGAAGCACTTTCTCTGTGAAGATGCCCTTGATTGCCATAGTTAACTTTGCAAGTCACCTCTCCACAGGCTTAGACCTATGTGTGTATTTATTATCGTGCCCCCTTACTAAAATTTGCACATTCTGTGCTGTTTCTCTTTATACCCATGAACAATGTCCGACCCTTAGTTTGTGAGATAAATATTGGTTGAATTTGGGAGTGTGTACTACTTATGCTTATTTTCTTTAAACTGTCTGGTTATTCTCTCCCTAAGATGTGATACACCTGAGGCCACAGGATTGTATGTGTTTTTTGGGACACATTTGAGACTAACATAGCTATTAAGATGTTAAGGATTGGTCCCAGTGCAATTCCCCCACCCCTTTGAAGAGATGAGTTATCTAGGTCCAAAGAGGTTTAAGAATTAGCTCAAGGCCACCCAGATAGGACAGGACAGACACCAGAATCAAATGTCCTGGCCTCCTATGTTCATTTGTAGTTTGAGGAAAATGGGAAGTCAGGATTGGTCCATTTGGCCTCTCTGGCAGGATTCCTGTTGGGTCCAGGGAACAGTTAGGCCTGGAAATCGATGATAGGCATTGAAGTGGGTATGGTAGGGCCAGCATCTTCTAGCTCCCTGTAGTCCTGGTGCCCTCTTGGGTGCATGGCCAGCCAGAACCTATATAGGCTGCTCCTTCCCTGCTGGGATCTTGGACCTGGGACATGCCCCTGGTGGGCCTGGCAGGTGAACTATTCTTTTCTGCTATAGCATTTTGACTAGAGGTTCCTCTGGGGGTCCCCTGGGTAGAGGAAACGGGATGGGACTAGGCTTGGTTATAGACAGAGCAGAGGCTGGCTGGGGAAGAGAGGCAGAGGGGGCGAGAGACCAAGAGCCCCAGCCTTACAAGGCTCTTCAGAGGTGGCAAAGGCTGGAGTTAACTGCTGCAGGAGTGATCATGACTTTAAAACTTATAACCACCTCTGCATGTCACTTGCTGAGCCGTGACTAAGAAGTAGACTGTCTTTGTTATTTACTTGTTTGTTTATTTATTGAGACAGGGTCTTACTACGTACCCTTGGTAGGAGGCATCTAACTCACAGAGATCCACCTGCCTCCGCCTCCTGAGTGTTGGGATTTGAGGCACATACCACCACTCTCAGCTACTTATCCTTGTTTTATTGAGGAGGAAGTTGAGACTGGGAGACACAGTGACTTACTCAGGGAAGGTGATGGGAGACCTGTTGCACAGTAGCTAGAAGGGCGGGCTACCTGGAGGAGGCACCAGCTGACAGGAATGTAGGCAGGTGCTGGAGACCCACAGCTGACTCTCTAACCTAATGCTGTAGGGAATCCTCAAGTCTCAGAGCCTCGGTTTCTTTGTGTTTAGAATGGAGATAAGAATACTTAGAGCTCATGAGGATAAAGTAAAATGCTGAAAGAATGATTCTACGGGGCTGGAGAGATGGCTCAGAAATTAAGAGCACTGCCTGCTCTTCCAGAGGTCCTGAGTTCAATTCCCAGCAACCACATGGTGGCTCATAGCCATCTGTAATAAGATCTGGTGCCCTCTTCTGGCCTGCAGGGATACATGCAGGCAGAACACTGTATATATAATAAATAAATAAATCTTTAAAAAAAAAAAAAACAAGAAGAATGATTCTATGTAAAGGAGGAAGACCCCATGCATGGATGTGGTGGGTGGGTGGCTACTTGAGGAACAAGCGCACCTAGCCTCTGACAGGTTTGCTGTGGTGACTACTTGTGGCTGCCACACCACGGGGACTCCCAGCACCTCTGTGAGCAAGCCCCAGCCCCAGTATAGTCTTAAACCCCTGTGAGAGGCACCAACAGGCCCCATCTCAGGAGAGGCAGGAAGCTGTGCTGGGTTCCCATGCTGTCTACCCCAGTGAGTAGCCCAAGTGCCAAGTGCCAGCATGCTTGTGCCGTCATTATCATTCCTCCTGTGTTTTTTTCTCCCGGGGTTATTTATTTTTCTGAGAGGAAGGAATGTGGGGAATTTACCACAGGGCTGGCCTTCTTTTTTTTTGGCTGCACAGCAGCCTCTTCTATATAAAGGAAACAGCAGAAAGACAGATGGCAGAGTGGAGGAGGCAGAGGGGCCTGGCTGACTGTGGGACTGCACGGTGTGTGTTATATAACCACCCAGAGGTCCAAGGCATATCCCACAGTGCACGTAACCCAGGTCAGAGCCTCAGAGTTCCTGGGCTCCTGTGAAATGATACCCAGCTCACAGCATGCAAACTGGACTCCAGGCAAGGCTGCTGTCATTTTTGTCAAAGGTTTCTTCTCTCCATCTTGCTTTGGGCCATAGGGGTGGATGGGGCCAGACTACCTTGAGTCTTCCAGTGTCTGAAAACTGTCCTTGTTGCTTGGAGCATCCCCTCATTTCCACTTACAAAAACCTAAGGCAAAGCAAACCTTTGGATTACTTTATCCTGATTTCTCTCTCTCCCAGGTTCTGTGTTCTCCTGGTACTTCAGGGAATGTTCTTCTTCTTGGGTTTGACACAACGACTCTAGGTTTCATCTCCCATCCCACCCACAGGCTTGCTGTTCTTTTTTCAGTCTCCCCTCACCCACTAAGAGCCACTTTCCAGTCTAGAATCCAGATGAATCTGAAATTTGGCTCCAGGGCTGAGCGATGGAACAAAGCTGAAGATACAGAAGACTTCTTTGGATGTGGGGGTGCTGGTTCTTCAGTCCACACTTCCCGAGCCCCCCCCCCACATTGATTGTTCTGCCTGGGCTGAGGCATTTAGAGATGCTAGAGGCAGGCCTTGGCACAGAGCTCAGGGAAAAGGCCTCATCTTTGTGTAGGGCCCAGAGTGCGGCAGGCCCTGATGAGCAGAGATAAAGGGAAGTTCTCTTTCCTATCCTGACTTGCCACCTCTGTGTCTCTGGACCTTCATGTCCGCAGGGTTATTCATATGCTCTGTCTTGTGCTACTGACTCCTCTAAGAGACCTAAGAGACCTGCAGGCCAACCTTACCTCTCTTGTAGGTTCTTGTTCCCCTAGGCCTGATCTGGTTTCCATTTTGGGTTTTGTTCTCTCTCTCTCTCTCTCTCTCTCTCTCTTTTTTTCTTCTCTCTCTTTTTGTCTGTCTGTCTGTCTGTCTGTCTGTCTCAACTGGCCTGGAACTCTCAGAGATCCTGACTTCCTTAGCCTCCAGAGGGGTAGGATTAAAGGTGTGTGTGACCATGCCTGTCCTGTTTTGGTTTGTTTTAAAATTTATAAATTTTTGTTTTATGAGTGTGGGTGTTTTGCCTGCATGTATGTTTGTGTATCATGTGTGTACATTGCCCATGGAGTCTAGAAGAGGGTGTTGTATTTTCTGAAATTAGAGCTATAGATGGTTCCCAGCACCCACATGGTGCTGAGTTTGGGTCTTCTGAGTTTGGGTCTCAGACCAAACTGAGTTTGGGTCTTCTGCAAGAGCAGTAAGACCTGTTGACTTCTGAGATACCTCTCCAGCCCCTGTTTTTTTTTATTGTTGTTTTGTTTTTGTTTGTTTGTTTGTTGTTTCCTAATAATTGGTCAATTTTTTGACACAGGTCTTACTTTGTAGCCTTGACTGGCCTGAAACTCATAAAGATCCACCTATCTCTGCCTCTCTAGTGCTGGGATGAAAGGCATGTGCCACCAGGCTGGCTGGCTTGTTGTTTTGTTGTAGACAGAATCTTATGTAGCCCAGCAGGCCTCAAACTTTCTGTGTAGCCATACATTGAACTTCTTGTCTTCCTGACTCCATCTCTGATGCTGAGATTAAGGCATGTACCACTGTACCTTGAATACAAGGCCTTTGTGCAGGCTAGGCAAGTGTTCCACATTGATCTGTATCCCCAGCCCTCTGGCTGCCATTTCTAAGATTCTGAAACCTAACAGCTATACATGAGTGATTTAGCCAGTAGAACAGGCAAGAGGGATGCTATGGCAGCCAGGTCCTACCAGGACCTCCTACTCCTTAAGGCCCTGGTCAGCCAGCAGTCTGTCTTTTACCTGCAGGGATAGTTGGCAGCTGATCTGAGCTTGTCTTCTTCTATCTGTGCCTGTCTGGTGCCCCTTTGACAATGGGAGAGCCGGGGGGGGGAGGAGGGGACCAGGAGCATCTGGAACTCAGCAGCTGAAGAGTGGCAGGTGTCATCCACACAGAAGATGTGTGCAGGAAGGGGTGCAGGAGTGGAGCATGTGTGACCCTGCCCTCAGGCTCCTTTAGTCTATGGGGGACAGAAGACCCAGACCTTGGAAGTCATGAAACAAACACTGGGAGAGACACCCTGAGTGATCTACAGCTCCAACTAGCCATGTGACTTGTTCTAAGTCACAGCACTTCTGCAAGACATGTCTTCTCTGAGGTAGAGATGAGGTCACTGCTAGCCTCAGGGCTGCTGTGATGAGAGTAAAGCAAGGTCCTGTCATAGTTCCTAGCAAACAGCAAGCTCTCCCTGAAGTGAGACTGCTCACAAGTGATTATGGCCCTGGGCAGTACAGTTTAAGCACTGACAGGCTGGAAAGCTTTTGGGAGGGGCTGATCACATTCAAAGTGGGTGAGAGGCTGGGGGCGTGGGACATGTAGAAAAAATGGGAAGTAGAAGGGTTCAAGGGGAGACGTTCCTGATCCTGTTTCCAGGCAGGAACTCGAGGGCAGGAGTGGGAACCGGGAACCACTGTGCTCTCAGCCATTGCCAAGGACACAGAAAGAGAGTGCTTGCTCAGGTAGCTTTGCTATCAGGACCCCGGAATGCTGGGATGAGGCAGACCCTTCTGGCTCTCCCATAGCTTGGAGTTCTGAGCAGGAGAGAAGCAGGGCCTGGGAGGGAGGACAAGTGAATCTGGTGAATCTGGCTGCGTGGGGTGGGTTGATTGGCGGGGGAGAGACTGGGGGTGGAGAGGCCATTTAAAAGGCAGTTGCAGAATCGTTTTCCTGATAAAGAGCTGGGCTGAATCATCTGTGGAGGAGAGAAGTCATATCTAGCTCCTCCGGGTACTGTCAAGGTGGGATTTTCCTCTCTCATCAGCCAGGAGCTTGGCTGCCTGTCCCAGAGGCTTTGAGAACGGAGGCCAGCGGCAGAGCATCCTGGGGAAGCTGGGCTGCAGGGAGGACCCAGTCAGAGTGAGTAAGCTGAACACTCAGAGGGGCCTTTGGGGTTTGGGGTGTGACTCAGGGCGTGTGGCATCCCCTGTCTGGCCTATTTTCCCTTCCAGAGCCAGGAAAGAGGCAGATGGGGATTTCTGCCAGCCTGTTAGTAGCAAGACTAGACCTAGCCCTAGGGATCCCACTCCTATCCCTGTGTGCCCTTTGTCTGGCAGCCCTTCTCTCCCAAGTGTGGATCATTGCACAGGGAGATGTGTAGGTCTGTGTCCACTGTCAGAACGCACTCACCATGCTTCTGGCATGGATGCCTCCTTCGGGGTCTGTGTCACATCCCTCTCTGCAGGGAGGATGTGAGGCTGGGCTGGCAAAGGGGCTAGGTTATTACTCAGACCTCCTCATTTTCCTGCCCCAGCCAAGCCAGAGGCTGTATTGTGGCTGGGGGCAT